TTATCTACAGTGAGCTCAAAACGACGTCGTTTTGAAGCGGAAATCAAGGTATTTTTGTAATTATAATTTATTTCAGGGTTATGATAGTCTTTTTCATTATAATTTTTTAATTTTTCACCCCAAAACGACGTCGATTTGGGAGCTGATCGGAACAAATCTTTACAACTGGGACGATCATGTGATCTTCCTCTACACAAGCCTGGAACCCTCCGTCTTAAGTCAGAGCATCTTGCAGTTGGGCCGCTTTATCCCATGGGTCTTCTATGGAACGCGATGGGGGTGTATCTGCAAGACACTCCGATGTTCAAGTCAGTTATGGTTCAAGTAGGTTTTATTATGTAGGAGAAGATATGCACCTTAGTGTTAATAGGTATGTATTTATAGTAGAGAGATGAGCAGCTTGGGGAGATGTTACTTAGTGATCAGGTTTGCTTTGTCTTGGAGGCAAAGTAATAGAGTTGTCATGTTTAATGTTGAGGAGCTTGCTGTCATGGAGTCTTTAAGGTTGTGCAGCTTGCTATGATAGCCTTTAATATTGTACAACTTGATGGCTGTCATGGAGCTTTTAATATTATGGAGCTTGCAGCCTTCTTGGACTAAGAAGGATTTGCTTCATTGTGAAGGCTTTAGATTTGGACTTTGTATTTGTATAATATTTATCTAGATCAGGAATGAATGTAGATAACTTATCTAGATTTAATATAGAAACATTAAAGCATATATATATATATTGATTGGCCTTGTCTGTTGATGTTCAACTCCCAATTGTATCAGTCTCTCTCATCTGCCGTTTCAGTTCGATTTTAATCACGTAGAAATAACGTTTAGTTTATTTCATATTTTTATTAAAATTAATGTTATATTAACAATTATGATATAATTATTATGTTTTGATTGTTTTCATATTTCAATATAAAAGGTGAATCATAATGTTAATTATTTCTTAATAAAATTTTCGAAATAAAAATTAAATTTACGAAATGGGGTCCCTAATTTTTGGGGAAATCACGTCAAAGGTTGATTTGATGGACGAATCAATTTTGAGATGATTAGATGGTTAACAAATACCGTACAATTATTCATAACACATGGTAATGATAATTTTTTTTTAAAAAATAATTAGCTTCTTTTTTTTGCTTTTTAATCTGATAAATACATTTTTCGAAATATTCCACTTTGAATTTTTGTTTGAACGTATTATTGAACTAACGTAGAAAGATGTATATCAGATGTCTATGTGTATAGTCATGCATCCAACATATACGCATTTCATATTAGTTCAGTCAAGACATGTCAGAATAAGTGCGCGTCTCATTATAGATGTGTTAGATCCAGCTGCGCCTTTAAGTCCATTCAATATAATCACGTTATGATCAGGTGCATATTCACTCATCCAATAGTATATTTGACCAAAGAACTAAATCACTGAAATCTTTAAAAAAACACATTTGTCATGTGAAAAAGTCTTATTTTTCAATTAATTGAAAGTTGCATGTCAAACTTCTTCTCATTCAATGCAATACCTACGGAGCATATATGTAGTGGATCGGGACCAATGCACCCTGAGAGAGAGAAGAGGAGACAGGAAAGAAGAGAAAGAGGAAGAAGGAGGAGAGAGAGGGAGACCATGCAATTATTTTTTCTGAGATGGCTATAGCGGCCATTTTTTAACTCTGAAGTAGTTAAAACGTTGCCCACACAATTGGTATATAAGTTCATATTTTATAGGAGAGAAATTTATCTATTACACATATATGAACTTTACATATTTTTTTATCTATATATAAAAAATAAATTTAACTCCTGAAAATATTAACTGGCAAATACATATCTGGTGAAACTGAGTTCTCAATATATTGAAGCAAAGTTTCATCTCATCATGAACGCCACTGGCATTGACAAAATAAGAACAGTTAATCCTCACCAAAAATAAAATAAAATAAGAATAGTTAATTATGTTCGAAAATTAACTTTAGCCCAATACTATATAATTGATGTATTGGCCACATAAAAAGGTTTTGTACTTTCAATTAGGTATATCACACTACATAAATCTCATCCAGATCTGACACTATAAATAACGCCTGCAAGTAGAATTTAATTTACGCCAATTATGTGACTTTTCTTTCATATAATACTAATAAGAATATCACCACCGATAATCAATTTAATTCAAACAGTTTATAACAATTTTGTTCTAAATGTATATATTCTTTTAGGAACGGTTGACATATTATGTGCATGTGATTAATTGAAAACAAAGTTATCGTTAGGTCAAACTTACCCGATATTCAAAGTATTAGTAAGCCCACATGTAAATAAGACGTGTTATATTCTCGTAATGGGGAATAGAGTCAACAATTAATAATTCATAAGATGACCCCATTTTGTCTTCTTAGGGTGGGTACATTTCTTTTCTTTTTTTCTAGAAGGGACACATTTCTTCATTTATCTAAAAAGTGCCAACCTTTTTATTATGGGAAATTATGATTGCCAAACTTTTTAGTTTGATAACATTCCTATCTATTCAGCTAAATTTTTTCTATAATTTTCATAATAATCTTAATTTTATTGAACAAGCTTTTTCTTAAGTCATCTGGCTACTAGTTCAATAAATAAAAATTTTCCTGCCTAAAATAGAAGATAAGGCCCGGTTATGGGGGCCAGAGTCTTCGAACCATATTTTATATGGGTTTGGTATTTGTCATTTTAAATGACATAAGTTATGTCATTTTAGAAGAGAGATAAACACAGAAAAACAGAAATCATGGGAGAGAGAAAGTAGGTGGTTTTTTTAATTTAAAATTCAAATTTTATGTGTCTGTATATCTTTTAAAATGACATAACTTTCTGTCATTTAAAATGACAAACACTTTTCCCATTTTATATATGGGCTTAGACATTTTGAATATGGAAGTCTTGAATACTTAGGTCCATTATTTGTACTTGAGCACGAAAAATAAATTCTGAATGGAAATAACGAGTAAGGGTAAAAAGATTTCTTGAGATAAGTTATCTTCCATGAGTCTAAAATGATATCGTTTTGGGACATGACTTGATGTATTTTTGTAATTCTAATATATTGCAGGGTTATATTAGTCTTTATCATTATAATTTTTTAATTTTATAACTTCGAAACGACATCGTTTCGAGCTCACTAGAGATAACTTTATCTCCAGTAACTGGAAAAATACTTTTTCCAATGAGTAAGGGTAAGAGATTTCTCCAGTCAATGGAGATAAGTTATCTTCGATGAGCCCAAAACGACGTCGTTTTAAACAGAAATTGAGGTGTTTTTGTAATTCTAATATATTGCAGGGTTATATTAATCTATATCATTATAATTTTTTAATCTTATAACCCCAAAACAACATCGTTTCCAGCCCACTGAGGATAACTTTATCTCCGGTTAATGTAGAAATATTTTTCCCAACTAATAATTACACTAACATTTCCTAAGCAATCATTAATATTCTATCACCTTTTAAAAACAAAAATAAAAATAGGCATGCGTCGCTTATTTTACGACTGTTCTTATACTTGAACATCATTCTTTTATTTTTTTAAAGAAATTACACAGATTTTCCTACTTCATGTATAAATCTTACACAAAGTTTACTTAAAAAATAACAAAGTAAGAGAGGTAGATATAATTTTCCGTTTTTTTTTTTAAATATAATTAGCGCTAGCCTCATGAAAAATTAGTGCAATTATTCTCGATAAACTTATAGCACTGGCCTTTTTTTTACAATAACAAGTCCCTTTATCAACTTATATTTGATCCTCAAAAACATCCTTTTTTTTTTAGTTTCTTAACATGTTTTTGTAGAATATAAATCTTAGATAGTAAAATGATGCGATTGATCGAAAGTTAAATGTGTAAAAATTTTTGTAAAAATATCCATGCTTCAATACTTTGAGCTTTTCAGAATCTATTTGATTCACTTCATAATATGATCTAATAATTCTTTAACTTAATAATAGTATCGACATATACCCAATTTATGCTGCACCATAAGTGTGTTCTTTGGGTTTAGTTGATTTAATGAACTCAAAATCCATTTTGAACTAATTGAATAAGTTTGGTTTAGTTTAGGTAATTAAGTCATATTGGGTCAGGCTTGACTAAACCCAATCTTTGTTGGGTCTGTTCTCAGATTCATTATTTGTTGAAGCCGTAACTTTACATTGTTGTGAGTCCATAACCCACAGCCCATCTCAGGGTTATTAAACTAATATCTTGGCCAAAATAAAACGAATATTCGATTGCATCGGATGGAAGAAAAATGTTTATCTTGGAACGAATTAAAACAAGAGGAGCGCTATTCTTATCAGTTATCACCTACAAATTTTACAATTTTTTATAAGATATTTTTTTAGTGTTGATTTTCTCCAATATGATAGTTATAATTTATTGGATCACATTTATTAATTAATTATTAATTTTAACTAAATTATAACGGTCAGATTAACATAAATTAATAATAATAAAAAAACAAGTGATAAAAGGTTATAAAATTTTTAAGTTGTAAGAATATTAGAATAACGCTTCTCTTAAAACAAACTCCATATTTGGTTTTGGGAAAGGATATATTTGCCATAAAAAAAATTTATAACTTTTACAACCAACCTAATCACCGTTGATTTTCGTCAATCTAAAAGTTATAATTTATGAGAATTAATAATTAATTAATAAAAATGACCTAATAATTTTTAATAAATTATAACTGTTAGATTAACGAAAATTAACGATGTTTAAATTAGTTGTAAATGCTATAAATTTTTTTAGTTTCCCTTTTTTTTAACTACAATAACGATTCCCCACAAATAAGTTCGGGGCAAATCAAAGAAAAAGATACTTCATATTTGACGGATAAAGTACAAATAATAATAAAGGAAGAAAATGAAATATCACAACTGAACCTTCAATTATGCAACCCCAAAAATCATATCAACTTATTGAATATTTAATTCTTTTCTTGATAATAAGTGTAACTTTCCAACATTCAACCTCCACATGTGGGTATTAAAACAAAAAAAATTTATTTACCACAAAAAAAAAGAAATTAAAATTTTAAGAGGTGTGAATAACCCAATGTTGGCCATCAATTTTTACCTTGAGACTGTGAATTCGTGCAAATAAATCAACCGCTCTTCTAACCCCTCTATTGTCCGCGGCAGTGAAATAGTCATGCCCGAAAATGACCCCACCGGGTCGGAGTATCTGATAGCCCCGGTTTATATCGGACCAGGCCGAGAAAAAGTCATGACCCGCATCTATCTCTACAAGCTCAGCCAACACACCCCACTCACACAGTTTCATTAAGGCCGATCCGCTCGAATATGGTATGGGCAAAACCGATTCGGTTCCGTTGAACGTCACCACGTTCTGAAGGAATTGGTAATAAAGTAAAACGTCGCCGTTTATTACTGGTATATTCTTGAACCGGTCCCTGAACCCGGTCCAACCGCGAAAGTCGTCGATGCAGAGTATCTGAGTTTTCAGGCCGAACCGGCGAGTCAACTCGGCCATGTGAAGCGCCGAGGCACCGAGGAACGTGCCCACCTCCACTATGGTTCGGGGCCTCACGCTACGAATGAGATTCTCGAAAACGGCACCTTTTGACCCCCACCCTTTGACCCTAGTGGTTCGCCGGAGCTTCCCCGCAGCGTGCTCCGGCGGGAAACCGTGAAACGGTGACGTTCCGTCGAAGAGGCGGTCGATGAGCGTCCGGCGAACGGTTTCCGGGGGGATTGGATCGGCACAGCGAGTCGTGACTCGGAATGGGTCGAGCTCCGTCGTGTTAATGGAGAGGCGGAGAATGGTAGAAGACGCAGGTGGTGGCGGCGGCGGCGACGGTGGTGGTAATTGCGATAACGAGGTGGAAGAAGGGTGGGACAAGTAACCTAAGGTGTAAGTTAGCAAAAGGAGGATAACATACGCCGTGGATTTGACAGTTTTAAGGATTTTAGGTGTTAATAAGGATGAAAGTCTCTTGTTGTTGTGGTGTTGCTCTGTTTTCATGTTTGTGAGAGTTTATGGGAACTACAGGTTGTTGTTGTTGTTGTTGTACTAATTCAACAGAGTGGAACAAAGACCGTTGGTGGTTACGAACAACATAGGAATTCTCGACTATTTCTTTCTTTTTTCTGTGTCTTCTTTTGTTCGGTTTGTACAGAACTACCGACAAGACAACTACTGGCCACAGAAACGATGAAGAGGAAGGATAGTTCTTCAAAGTCAAGAGTATTTCGTTTTTGGAATTTGGTTTCGTAATTACATGGTTTTGACCTTTCATATTACTATTTCCTTGGATATTTCTTGGGAAATACCGAAATACATTATCAAAGAAAAAAATAGTTTTCTATACATGTTTCAACTTATAACTTCAAACAAATTATTCAAAAATTTTTTTTATCATTAATCCATTTCTAATGGCTTAATTAATGAATGGAACACGGGAATTTAATTATGTAACTGGCTATGATGAATTATGATTTTTTTTAATTCAAATAATTTTTTTATTTATAAAAATATCATTATTCTCTAGTAATTTTGAAAATATATGCTTTCTTAATGTATTATTGGATTTCTTTCAAGGTACAATATTTAAAAAGATGTATTTTTAAGATAAAAGAAAGACCACATAACAATTAGTTTGAAAGGGCTGGGGGGGTGTTGAATGTAAACCCAGATGCAGAATCTTCGTGCCTTGTTTTAGAAGTTCACTAAAGTTGATACGTTTAATTTTTAAGAAAAAAAGGAGTCGGAGAGTGTGGCTACAAACTACAATCTTACAGTTACATTCGCTTTACATATAGAAATATGTATTCTTTTTCCCTATTTTAACTTATTTTCTTTTTACTTTTCATTACTTTTTGCCTTAGAGCTCTTAAAAGATTTAGTTAGATTTTACGGATTAGAAACTTATACCATACTCAAAGAGAGAACTGCATGTAATTATAACAAACTTTAAGGAAAATAACGTAATTTACTCAAAAAAAAAAATTTGGTGGATGTAATTTACTCAATTTAATTTGTATAACGTTACTGCTGAAGTCTTTATTTTGTTTCTTACGCAATTCATTTATTTACTAAATAAAATAATGAAACCGATTGTTATAAAAAAAAATAATAATAATAATGAAACCGATGAAGGAAGCAAGAGCGTAAAATATGAGGAACAACCCCTTCAATACCTAATGAAAGTGATAGAAAACAATAATATACAATAAATATAAGTCAGGTCAAATGGCAATGAAAATCGAGTACGAAATAACGATTTGGAATTTTATATAAGCTCTGCGTTCTGTAGGAATGTGATGTAAACTATTAGATGAAACTATTTTAATGATTTTTATATTTCTTTAATATGTTCTCTCACACAATAGTTTATTAGATTTGAAGGGTAAACAATGTACATACTCATCTTCTTGTGCTAAGAAACTCCACAAGACTTTAATTAATTATTAACTAAATGAGGGCAATGATAATTGAATTCATGACACCCATACTTTAATACCATATAAAGAACTAATTTAATCAAAAATTTAAGCTGATAGGTGAGACTACAATAATAACTTTTATATATCTTCTAATCCACAAGCACCCAAGAATTGAAGTGTGATGAATGAGTGTAAGCAGGGAGGAAAAACAAACCCCATTGTATCTATCATTATATAAATGAAGTGCAATAGCGGTTAGGAAGGAGGTGCACATAATGAATGGTTTTGTAGGTGATTGACGGTGTAATAGTCTACTTAGTGGATGATTATGTATAGTTAAGAGTGGACTCAGAGAGGAGCGAGCACGGGCCGTTGCTCCTCCCTAAATTTTAATTTTTTATTTTATTTTATATATAAACTAATATTTTTAATAGTAATCGGCTATTAATATTAATAGTTTGCTAATCCCTCAAAAATGTTAATAATAGTTAATATCTCCTACTATTCTTTACAACATTTATAATTTTAAAATTTTATTTTTATCCCCTATTACAAAAGATTCTAAGTTCGCCACTGTGTATAGTGGCTAGAGGTTTGAGTGAGAGTGATGAAATTGAAATACTTAGTACACATCTTATAGTAGGGAGGAGTTGAGACCATTTAAGTGTTCTAGAACAAGTTCTCTTTCCCAGTTTAATTTTTCAAATCAGGAGTATTATTTTGAATAGCCCTAACATTTTTGAATTCAAAAGACAAAGTAAGGACAGATGGGAAAAGAGTAAAGAATTGAAAAAATTTAGATTTTGAATAAGTTGAAATGAGTAACTTAATTTATTTTTTCTTCATAAAAAGCATTTTTAAAAAAAGGGTTAATGTTTCTTTATAAAAAATAATTTTATCTCTTACACACACATAAAAATATGTAAAGTTTATATTTTCTTTTTCTCTTTTCTCTTAACATGGCCTCACATGAATCCACACATTTTATGTGTGTAAAAAATAAATATTATCTCCTACAAAAGCATTAATCCCAAAAAAATAAACGGACCTTACTTCTATAGCTAACCAAAAAGTTATATATAAGGATCTTTCCTGTTGCACTTTTGCCTCAAGCAGCATCTTACTAAAAACATTTAACTGTTTTACACTATATAAAGCAGGGACAATAAATAGAATAATTTTACTTATCACATAAATGGGGTTCCATTTGGCTTAATTGTAAAGTTGCATTAATCAGAACCATAATATTAATCTTGGTCAGCACCTCGTACCCAAGAACGTTGGAGTGTGAAAACCGTATCCCACCCCTTTTCACAAGCCCTTTTTGCGGTCATCACACATTTGAGAAGTTCTTCCCAGTTATGATATTTTATCTATGTTCCTCTTTTGAGAGTGATGAACCACTCTCTCTCTCTCTCTCTCTCTCTACTTTGAGTACTTTCTACATTCTACCAGATCACATGATCAAATCTCCAACTCAATCTAATATAATTCAATTGTGGCTGTCACCTGACTATATCAAATCACATGAAGACATCCAAAAGTTTCATATGAGTAAACATTGCTCTACTTCATTAAATATACTAATAAAATCCAACTCAAGGTTAGATGTCATCAACTAATTGATCACAAGAAATCACACCCAAAACCAACCAAAAAGGAAAGCAAACACCAAGCTCAGAATATATCTGTATAAAAAGAACAAATCCTTTAGCAACAGCTCAAAGTACTATTTGGCTTCGGATTATTCCTGCATTGCAAGTTCTAGGTCTAAAGAAGAATATATCCTGAACTAAATTCAGACCGTGAATTCATCCACTGCAATTCCTGTTTCAAACTCTTATGCCCCGAATCTAATGGAATTCCCTCCAAAGGCAAACATTTTCCGCTTATATGAACACAACAATCTACAAAGCAAAATTGTGAAAAACCCGCAAGCAATTTATGTAATAAAAAATTTGAAGGACATGGTAGTGTAGAACACATGCTTTCACCTCTTCCTCATACTAGTTCATCATGATGTGGCACCTGGAGTTTCTGTTGACACAAACTCACTGCATGCCAAAACCCTAATAAAACAGCATCTACCTAATCTGTTAAACAAGAGAAGCTCTTTTGTCCTTTGGTCGATATATTAAAGGTCATCAGAATACATTAGCCCTACCTTTTAAGAAAAACCTACTATCAACAGTCACATACATCTTATGAAACGTAGAAGAAAATATGTCACTTTGCCTCTTCTGACCCCTTCAGATAAGATGATTCACCATCTCCACTGTTATGTGGAGCGGATGAACCACCGTGGCCATCTCCACCAGCTGTCCCAGCCTCAGAAGCATCTTGCTTGCTTCCACCGCGTACATCAGTTGGACCGGTAGTAGCCGAAGGTGGACCGCCACTGCTGCCACCTCCAAGAGCAACCTCGCTGTGCATTGAATGCATGCCATTATTTATCCCTCCGGGTCTCAGTCCCATTTGCCCTTGGATGGCCTGCTGGTGTAGCTGCTGCTGTTGATCCTGCATTTGATGTAGATTACCAAATTGCAATGGCATTTTTTGGGGGAAAATTCCTGGTTGCTGAGCCATTGCTGCTGCCTGAGGATGTTGCATATAGAATCCTTGTTGCATCGCAGGGTGCGGGGCCATCTGCAAGTGTTCAATACAAGGCAATATGAAGGTTATGGTGCAACAGATATGACTTACAAGGGACCAGCTATGTTCTATTTTTACCTGTGGAGGCATGGCTGGTGTTTGTGGCTGGGCATCAGCAATTGCAGCTAAATACATCAAATTCTTTTGAAGCTGAGCTTGGTACCTAAGAAATAAAAAATCATCACACAACCATTACATAAAAACTAAGCCAAGTACATGCAAAAAACTTGGAAAATAAATGCTTGCAAATAGATAAGGACCAAGCTACATCATTATTAGATTCAATTATACGAAACAAATACCATAATAAATTATATCTTAGGAAATTTCCAATTAAATGAAGTTAGTGAGGAGAGTGAATGGGTAATTGAGAGTGCTAAACGCCTCACCTGTTATACACGTTTGAAAATGTTACGGATCAGAAGATAGAGAATCAATTAATAATTCAAGTCAGACCAACCTTCAGCACTGACAAATACATGCAGATACAATTTAGAGGTCACTTACTGGGCACATTCAGCAAGTTTTCCAAGATTTTGATTGTCCAATATTGCCATAATCAGCTTCTTGTTCTCATCAAGATACTGCATCATGTACCATGAGAGGGCATTCAAATTAAAAAAGAGTTTCTTGCTGCCAATTTGGGTTTAACTTATCATATCATTTTAATTAGTGAAATAATAATCATCATGCAAGGTAGATATATAGGTGATGAGAAAAGAGACCTTAGGTGACTTTAAAGTTCTTTCCTGGAAATTTCCTAATACATAAAGGCTAAATAACAATTCATGACAATACATTTCTTAATGGTTATAGAAAATGTTCAACGAACGAACATCAATACCATTAGTTTTGGTGTTGCTGTCCTCAGGCTTCTCAGTATTCCAAGAATCCAGTATCATTGAGGATGCCAGTGGTGTTAGATTCTATGTTGCTTAGTCCTAGAAGCAACTTAAGGGGCAAAATCAAAGTTTCCACCCCCTTCAATCTAATGTATGTTAATATTACAACTATCTTTCACAAAATCCTATCGAGCTATCTCTCTCGTCAGGTAACTCACTGTTCTCTCCCCCTCTCTCTTCTGTTCCAGCAAGCCCACCACTCACCGCCGGCGCAATTCCAGCCTGTGCTCCAAACCTAGCCCACCTCAATTTGCACTTTTTCCTCTGTTCTGGCCGCTGCCTTTGTTCCTCTGTTACGAATGTGACAATATTGAGTTTCTTCCTTTATGTTTCTTGAATTTTTCCTTTATTGACTTATGATTATTAATTATGAGTGCCTATAATTTGAGTAATTTTTTTTATTTTTGAGCATTATATATGTGTAGTATAACTTAATATAGCATATATGTAAACTTCACTGTAGCATCTATATGACTATACCGCTACCCAATATCCTACTATAGCGGTTTTGGGGTCAGCTGCTATGTGGTACTATTTGAGATTTATAACTATGCCTTGTCTAAGATAATTATGCAGTAGAGTCGAGACGACTATAGTCCAACCAACAGCCTCCTCTTTTCCTAATAGGTAATTATCCTTTACAGGGTAAGAGGGTAAAATAATGAGCCTATGCTGCAAATAAAACTCCATTACTTCCTAATAAATAATTGACCTCTCCAAAGAAAGACAGAAAAAATGACAAGCCTATGCTGCAAATCAGAGAGGTGATCCAAGCATCACTGGCAAGATATCAGTTCTACCATCATCCCCTTTGCTCACTGAAAACTAAACGAGCATGGATGCACCACATAGCATCACAAAATAGAGCAGTTTTCAAGGGTTTGTCTCTCAGGTGACTTTGGTAGATGATTCACATTAAATAGAGAAATTGCATAAGTCTCTAATTTATAAGAGGTTCTCAAGATAGCAGGCTCATCACACAATCAGCCCATCCAAATATTTGTCTAAATTTGCCATTTTTTAACACCTATGCAGGCTAAGATGCAGTCAGCTAAATAGGTACAAGACGAGGTTCTCAATTTGTGATATAAATTTATTCAGATATGCCTTTTGGCCCAGTAACAAACTATCAACAACATGCTCCAGTTGATGTCAAGAAAACCTAAATCATAATTAGAAGTAATCAGTGTATAGAATTGTTTAGAGTGGAAATATAGTTTCCAGATAAAATAACTTGATTCTCAATGATAGCAAATATTATCTACTTCTAGTTCTAGATGATATCCTAACATTGGATTAAAATTGCAAAGTCAGTTAGATGCACCTTTCGTGCCTTCTTGGTGAGCAACGAATTAATTGAGACAGATATCACTCTTACCACAAACCACTCCCATGCTCAGATCATTTTGAAAGACTCATTCCTTCATCTTTATATTTACTATTTGTGAGCTTAGTAGTTTAAATGATCCAAAACAGATATCTCTTCACTCACGACTAGAAAGAATCAAGTCTCATCACGGACCCAGGTGTTAGAACTTGGCTCTCATCATGATTCATAAATGTAAGCAAGAAATAAAAATCACATAAAAGGCTGGAAATAGGAACACTATTTCCACACTACATGATTAAATTTATGACAGATTATCATAAATCTAATTCATTCTCACCTCAATACCCACAAAAAAAAAAAAAAAAAACAGAAGAAACCATGAAAACCTTAAAGTAAAGTCTGTAAGTAATGAGGGAAACGGACGGGTTAAAACAGTAAAAAGCATACTTTTTGAATCTGCTCGGTGGTTATGTTTGTAGGAGGGAATGAAGGCATCATAGGAATCATTGGAGGGTTCTGCTGCATCTTCTACGCCTGGTTATTTTCACTGAAATTAACCAAGAAAAGAAAAATAAAAAAAACCCTAATTTCACCGAAATTACCGCATTCAACAGTAAACAAACCCCAAACCCCAAATGGAAACTTGTTATACAACCCCTTCAGGTAAAAGATAAAAAATAAAAAAAAATAAAAAAAGGGAAAAGATAAGAACTTTGAGAGAAAGAGAACCTGGGTTTGGTTTCTAAGTAGGTGAGAGGTGAGTGTTGGAAACACTTGTGAAGATCCTTTGGGATGTCGCGTAGAAGAAGATTCTGGGGTTTGAAGACAAAGCAACAACATTAAAACAAGGAATAAATTAAGGTACTTTAGCAGTGTTGAATAAAAAAATTTTACCCAACCAAACAAAACTTGCTAGTTGCTAGTTGCTAGATTTGGTGGTGCTCGTGGTTCGGTTTTGTTCCTCCAAACTCCCAAACGACAATGCTCTTTTATTCGCTATTTATATGTCCTTGTATTTTTCTTTGTCTGTGTTTTGACTCTGTTTCCCGTTCGGATCATTGTACTGTTGCACCGCATGAATGGGATAAATACAAGTTATTATTATTATTATTATTATTATCAGGATATAAAATTAGGAAAGAATATTTTTCTAAAATATAATTTTGTGTCATTTTAGATTTTAATTATTAATTTTTATCAATCAATGATAAGATTTATTGGGTCATATTTATTAATTAATAAATAATTCACAATAAAATCTAATCGTTAATTGACAAAAATCAACGATTAAAATCTAAAATGACACAAAATTATATCCTTTAAAAAAAACAAGTATTTTTTTCTTCATAAAATTATGTTATTTTAAATAAGAGAAAGAGAAGCAAAGAAAATTAGGGAGAAAAAATTGTTGATTTTTTTTTAAAATTTAAAATTTAAATAAAAAATATTAAATAAATCTTTCTCTTATTTAAAATAAAATATCTAGAACAAACATTTTTGCATTATTATTATTTTGAAGAGGGGTCCTCAAAAGTGAATGAAAGTACTTCCTTATTCAAAGCCCAACTTTAATTTTGATTTTTTCTTTTTCAAATTCGGGCTACCACTTAAATTTGAATTCCAATGTATTCATTGCTAAACCCGTTTTGTTTGGTACCGGAATAGTGGCTTTTGTGCGTTAGGGGTATTCGGCCCGTTTGAATGTGCAATTTTTATTCAAAAGTTATTATTATTATTTTTAAAGAAAAACACTTCTCACTACAAAATCTATTTAATTATATGCTTAAAAAAAGAGAGTAGAAATCACAAAAAAAGATAAAATTTGTTTTTTTTAAGATAAAATTTTTAACTTCTATAAAAACCATAAGTTAAAAGCTAAATATCTTTAACTTTGATAAAAACTATTTCTAAAATAAGCAAGATATAAAATTTTAAAGTTCAGATTAATAGGTCTTACATTCACTTTTAAAATAAGCAAACTTTTCAAAGAATAGAATAATTTTCAGCTGGGGTTTTGAACGAAGCAAAATAAGAAAAATGTCTCATTTAAATAAAGAATAAGGAAAACTAAATATGATGGCTAATCAACCCCTTGATTAATGCTCGTCACTTTGAATTATATTGGGTAATTTTTTTTATTATCCAATCAATTCAATTGATTGATTTTCCTAATTTTAGTCAATCAATCTAATTAATTGATTTCCTTAATTTTCTCTATTGTCATCAACACTAATTTCATGACTATATTTAAATTTAAATTTAAATTTAAAATTTAAAATTCAAAATTAGAATTCAAATTAATTTTATTAATTTAATATTTAAATTAATTAGGTTGCACAATGAATCAAATTTCACTTGACCCATGATGCATATAATTTAAATTTTTTTAAAAGATGAAAAATGTATACTTTTCAAAAGAATACAAATTATTGTATGAATTATACATGGCAAAAAAAATTCACAAAATAACTTTAAATTATAATATAGTATGTATAGTCTTAAAAAATTTCCCTTTTAATAAACGCGAGCACCGAGTGCTTTCGGTGCATTAAAATTTTTCTCCTCCTCTATCTATTGATAGTTGTAACACTCCCTGGATTGCTTCTTACATATTGTATGCCTTGATGCAGTTCTTAAAACTTCAGTAGAGGTAATCAATATACAATATTAATTTCTCTTGCCCCTATTGGAATTGATATATGATCATTCTACTCTAAGACACCCGCACTAATAGTGTGTATGAATGAATGCAGACTGTTGCTTTTCGTTTAAGAAGTAAGATACAAGAATGGGCTGCTCAAATTTTCGTCCAGAAGATGAAGGTGGTGGAAGCTTCTTGTTTTGTACCAATGTCTATGATGGCTTTCAAATTTTAAGGCATATTTTATGTGAATTCAAATCCTCAGGAAAGAAAAATACATTTGTGCTGGCATAATCACCTAAAATATCATATTACTAAAGCAATTTGCCTTTTGCCGTGGGACAAAATTATTAAAATAATCAAATTTTAAAATTAAAAAAAATTCCGCAATCATTGTTTTCCTCTTTTCTCAAGTTTTTCCCCCTTCAGGTATGCTCCAACTATATGACCAAATACACCGAATATTATTCTTATGTGATACAATTCATCACCTTCTATAGTTTTATATATTATTTTTGTAACACATCCTCCTCCTTAAAGAATTATTTAAGTTTGAAATATAAATATTGCACATATCAATTTTTTTATTTTATCTTATGTTGAATTAATTTTATTAGAAAGTGGAAGCAGTGAGGATTACACTCATAATCCTTTGATTCACTTGGCTCTAAAGCCTCTCATACCATAATAAGCAATTGTCTAAATCCAAAAACTTAAACTGATAAATGAAGAATTATCAATCATTTCTTAAGCAATTCTCTAACATTATGTATGGCTTAACAGTGCAATGGTAAAGCAATGGAGGAGCAAGAGAGGAAGGACGGCTGTCCCTTCAATTTTATATAAGTCTTTATGTGCATTATTTGTGTTGTTTTTGGTCATATGGCCCCTTCAAAAATTCTAAAAAGTCTTTGATTATGAACATTATTTATATTCTTTTAAGTACATAGATAATTATAATTTACAAAGTATATTACACTTATAATTTTGTCCTTTCATAAAAATTTCTGTGTGCCTAATTGAAAGTGATAAGTACGCAAGTGTGTAGTAATTAAGTATTCAAGCTTTGAGCTGAGCATTTAAATTTATGATGCGGGCCATATTATGGATGTTACATACTATATGAATAAATCGGGCTATGTAGTTTTTTTAAGGATGTAAATAGATTGGGACAGGTTAGACTTTGACTTAATAGTTCAGGTTTGTATAAAATTCTTTAGCTAGCTTGGTCGATTAGTATGTATAAGTCTAAATTATAAGTCTGATTTGACCTATATTTTTCTTTAAAAAATTCTTAATATAGATTGGGAATAGATATATTGACAAAGTAAATAGTTTACAAATGTTTACAAACAATTAATAATCGTTAGATTAATTGTTTCGTCGACAGTTCTGATTTAATTTCTCCATTCCACAAATAGCTTCCATTTCACGTCTAACGTCTACCACACTTTCCTTTTCCGCTCTCTTACCCTCTCCGCTCAAGCCTCCAGTAGATTGTCGTCTGCGTCCACGTCACTCCATCCCGACCATCTGCCATCGCCGTCTCAGCCCTCTGTTTGTGACCCACCATCGTTGCGCCAGCCCTTGTGCTCTTTTACTGCCGGAGGCCGACCTTGCTGTCGGCGTTTCCCACCTGCGCGTGGAATGATATATTGAGTCGACCTTGTTGCCGCCATTACAGGACCTGTGAGTGAGGCAATTTGATTGGAGTTTTCATCTGTTAACATGGGTGATTCGCCATTTTTTTCTCCTTTGACTTTTTTTCTTTTTTTGGGGTTTATTCTTTTTAAGTTTCGATTGTTGAAGCTGTTTCAAATTTAATAGGAATTTTTTGAAATGCGTTGAAGTTATTATATTTATCTTTCATTTTTTTGTGTAAATTTTTAAATGGGTTGTGGTATTGGGGCTGAATCTGGAAAATTATTTGGAATTTGCCCTTGAGTTTAGATTTTACATAGCCGATTGTCATTTTGGTAATGATAATCTGGTATCAGCTTTACAATTCACTATACTTTGACTATTATCATTGACTCTCTTAACCATAGTCCTTGACACTTGACAGGAAGACATCAAGTTGATGTGCTCTCTTCGCAACAATGTATATCGATTTTCCATTTCATGGGCGAGGATTTTACCTAGTAAGTATTTCACAGTTGACATAATTAGTTCCCATAAGGTTTTAAATTGCAGTTGGTTGTGGTATTGGGGCTGAATCTGGAAAATGAATTGGAATTTGCCCTTGAGTTGACTGTTAGGGATGCAAATGATAAGAGATTGTAGAACACCGAATTTTGTGAACTGATGCAAGTTGACAAATGAGAAATCTCAACTTGCTTAAATCTATAATGACCAATGATATTTAATGCTAGCCTTTTCTGTTTGATTATATGACAAGAGGTTGGGATAACTGGTCCAAGGTTCAAGTTTTGACAAGTTTAGAGTAATTTTCTCTTTACGTGGACTTTAAAAAATAGAAAATATATGTTGCTCTGTGATATCTTATGAGTTCAGTATTAGGTTTTGAATCCTAATGTGGACTTCACGGATTGGTGTGTGTATATTTGGATTTGGCTGCTACAAGAATTTCAATAATTTAGTCTAATTTCAAATGCTTAGACCTTATAGTCTTGAGATTTCATTTAATTTTGTTTGTAAGAATTCTGTGAATTGAATTCATTGACTCCTCCACATTTTATATCTCTTACCCATAATCCCATGAAGTATTTCTTATACACGTTTTCCCTCTTTTTGCTGGTCTTTTAGATTTAAAGCTGAAGAATGGACTTCTTTACTAGAGACATAAATGAACTCTATGCTTAAATATCCATTCAAAGAAAGTGCAGGCTGAGCTTCCAAAATTCCAATTCAATCATTGTTATAAGGGCAGCAACTATTAGTATATCATCATTTGGATCATCTTTGGATTTGGCCGATTCAGTTTTGATTCATTTTTTGATAAGTGGAACAACCAGAAAAGATAGCCTAAATCATCAAAAAAAGAACATTCTTCACAGGTATATATTACATTAAGTATATTATTCTGGCCACGACCAAATCATTTTTCGTTACAAGATTTTCTGCTAAAGGTTTTAAAATTATAAATAATATGTTTGGGCCTACTAGATTTTTCATCATTTTATTTATTATAAGGAAAGAGAAATTAACAAATCTTTGTGTAGTTGGAGAGAATCACTAAGATATTTATTTTTAAACATTGTAAAACAGAACAACTTTCAATCATGATGTGGATTACTTTTTCAATCTCCCTGATGTGTATTTAATTTAATTGATATTCAGGATAGTTAATCAAAGCATGAGGCAAAAGGCAATGAGTGGCTGCAAAGAATGACCCAATTGCAAAGTCATAACGCGCAGTTAGCAAAATCCTTCCACTTGTTGCAAAGGCTATTCAACCTCCTCCAGGCATGAAATGCAAGTGTCCACCAGCAATATGGAGACAACATACTAAGAAGTTTTCACCATCATGTTTTGCTGCTATCTATGCAGTTGTTCCATTCATAGCAATGTTAAGGAAGACTGTCTTAATGCCTAAAACAGCTATGGCAATTTTTTTTTTTTGATAAACAGCTATGGCATTTTACTATTGCAGCAGTAGTGTCAGATTCTTCACAATGACTTTGGTTATCTGGGATTTTGTTATTTGTAATCACAATGATTTTAGCTATCAATTTATTGATTTGTTGGATTTAGGAATTCTTTTCCTTTGGGAAGATTTTGATATCTATCAAATTCTGAAATATTATTATTAAAATTTTATTTAATTAACTTACATGACCAAAAAAACTAATTTATTACAAAAGATTTAAAATTAGTACATATTTTTAAAATAAATTTAAGAAAGCTTAAAAAGCTAATTAATTAAAATAATTATCAATACTAGTTTCATACAATTGCAGACTAACTCACGACTAGTTTCATGAAATGTCTCGTAATTTTATGTAACAGACATCAGTACTGAATAAAGTCATTAAGTTTTGCATTTATGAGAGTGAATAGGTTCCTTTTCTTCAGGTTTTTGTCATAAATTAGAAAGAAGGTAATGAAAGTAAGCTTGATTCTGCAGCAGAAATTAAACACAAGAAAACTTCAGCAGTAGACACATCATCCACCTTCCTTAATGATAATTCAATATCTACTATAACTTTTTAGTTTCAATTATATTCAAGCTGATTTCTCAAACAATTTACAAGACTTCACCATCACTTGAAAATCAAGCTCATTGTTTAATATAACCCACAATATAAACAGTTGTGTTGAACCTAGCTTATCTCTTTGGGACATAGAATTCCAAAACCATGTCAAAGTTGTCATTGCAAGCTTAAAATATAACCCACAATATAAACAGTTGTGTTGAACCTAAACACACTGCATATACAACAAGTTAGAAACTAGCTACTACAGTGCCAGTGGCCCGAAGGCAGTTTAGGACATTAGCTTAACACATCACTTGTGGCTTGATAATATGTTGTTGTAGAAAATTAACGCAAGCTCCAAAAGCCCTCTCACCCTTTAGGACATTAGCTTAACACATCACTTATGGCTTGCCAATTGGTGAACATGTTACCTAAACAATAATAACATAATAGAGTTAAAGTTGCTAACAAAATTGAGTTGATGTTAAGATTACTTACTTCTTTCTCCCAATTGGTGCGTAATATGACTACAAGAAAACACACCACTTTTACTATAAGTGCTAATACAATTGCCAAAACTAACCCCTGTAATATGAAGAATCAAGATAATTTCAAAAGCATTAGCCCCAGTTGAACACATTTACAATTAGGCAGAACAGGAACTTGATAACACAATGGTTAAATCTTACCCGCCCATTCATATGGAGGATAAAAGCAAACACAACTGCTAAAGGAACTCCCACAAGATAATAAGATCCTAGATTGACAAATGCACCAAGCTTCTGCCAACCACATCGTCTAGATGACGCGTATTCACAATCAAAGAATTAGCTAAGGTAAGTTTACATATGAAGATAAACATAAGGTTCCTCAATAAATGAAAAAATGTATTATCTAAGTTATTAATTTTTTGATACTAATAAAATATAAGCAGTACATTTCAGCATGAAAGACTGACCTTTTTGTAGCACTAACTCCAAATGGTATTATCCAAAACATACCAATTGTATTAAGGCTGGTGAGGAGAAAAGTATAGATGATCATTGACAACAACTTAGGAAAATGACATATCAAACGTCCATGTTTCTAAGCTGTAACATGGCAACACAGTAAAACAGTAATTAGAAATTCTGAACATTGGTCATTCAGATGACTAGTCACTAAGAAAAGATATAAGATTTTACAAGGCATTCTATCTGATGGTGTTGCAATAAAATCATGAAGTTGACAACTTGAAATGCAAAACTTAGCAACACAAGGTAGTGGGTATCCAAAAACTGGCACCATCTTTTGATGTAAATCCATCATCCTCTGCCACAGGAAATGATTCTTTTCTCAGCATAGTTGGACTTCTTGACAGCAAAACAGTGAACTTATTTTTGTTTTACTCTATTAAGCTACACTTACATGCAAAGCTTAGCAACACAAAAAGAGACCATATCCATGTCAAAATCAGACTCAAAAATAATGGTTGTCAGATGTACTTGATATTACAAAACACCAGTTCAATGTTGTTTGCTCAACATTGAATGTATTGCATCTATATATTCTTTGCATGTGCGTTTATTATGTCCCCGCTTCTTACAATTGCCACAAATATTAGTATGCTTTGATGCTTCTTCAATCCCGCTACGAATCCTGTGTCCCTGTGAAGTACTTTGTGAGTCCCTTTTCCGCCCTTTCGTTTGTGAAATATTTGGATCCTTCAAGTACATCATAGAAGGCTCTTCATGATGAAAACCCAACAACTGTAAATTAGAATCCCCAAGACCACTACTCTCTTCGCACGCTAGAACTTTTTCTGCTGCTTTATAGAGAGAATCAATACCATCACAAATTAATTTAAATGCTTCATCTGACTTATATGCAAGGTCATCAAGTTTGGAATATCTAGAGCGTAGATGAAAGCTGCGAAGAAGTCTATCTCCATTTGCGGTACATCTGTCCTTCTCTCCGCTTGGTATCACATTTCCTTCCTTGCTCCAACGCTGCAGAATGAAGTGTTCAGGAATCTGTTCAACATTTTCAATAAAAAAAATAGCAAGCATGTGCCGACATAAGATTCCCATGAACTCATAATAATGGCAAGAACACCTAGCTTCTCTGTTTTCCAATTTCATCTCAACTGTTGCATAATCTTCTACATCTTTCCTATTAAAAACTCGGTACATAACCCACTCACAATCATCCCCAAGTTTCTCCTTAGAAAATCGTAAACTAAGAGAAAGTTGATCGCAAAACTTTAAAAAAATTGCACGGGTATACACTTTAGCAGCATGCTCCTCCAATGGCATATTAAATGTCAAAATCCTTTCTTTGTGCCTAGATTCAAAGTCTTCTTTTTTAAATGACTCGTAGCGAGCATCTATTGCTTGATTATATTTCTCCACAAATTCCTTTAAAGTTGTGCCAGATGTAACAAAACCATCAAAAAATGAATTTATACTTTCGCTACGTTGAGTAGTGTTCATACCAGCAAAGAAAGTGGAATGGTTAAAGATTGGTACCCAAGAGGATCTAATTGTATAAAGTACATTCAACCACTCATTTTCAATAAGACCATACTGAATAAGAAATCTTTGCCATCTATCTTCAAACTCTTGAGTGCTCTTGGAGCTCCAAATACAGTCATTCAAATGCCTTTTAAATGATGCGTGGTCATGGTAGAGATGAGATAACTTTTCTGGAAACTTTTTCATGATATGCCACAAACAAAATCTGTGTTTCGTATTTGGAAAAACTTTGGAGACTGCATTGCTAATCGCCAAGTCCTGTAAATTTAATAACATGAGTAAGTATGCAATCACTAATAAGTAGTCATATTTGAGATAATATACAAAACATAATAACCAATGCAATAAATTGATCATACTTGATCAGTAATTATGGCAACTGGATGTTTTCCATTCATTGCTCGAAGCCATTCCTCAAAAAGCCATACAAAACTATCCTCAGTCTCATCGTGTAATAAAGCACATCCAAATAAGAGGGACTGAAAATGATTATTTACACCAACAAAGGGTCCAAATGGCATGGAATACTTATTAGTCCTATATGTTGTGTCAAATGTGATGACATCCCCAAAAAGCTCATAGGCGTGCCTGGATCTTGCATCAATCCAAAAAAAACTAACCATACGATCATCATCGTCACACATAATAGAATAAAAAAAACTAGGATTCAGTGATTGTTGTTTAATACAATAAAGTAGCACAACTTGTGCATCCCCGACATCGTATACCCTTCTCCTCACATTTTTCATATGATTATAACAATCTCGACTGTCAAACCCTAAATCATGGCTTTTGAAGATGGTGGCCACCTTTCCAGTAGGCAAACCCGCGTTATTGAATTCTTCTATCAAACATTTTGCAGCATCGGGCATTTTTCTATGTGATCTCAAATATGAAACACTTTTTGGAGTAACCATCTTATGGTTATGCTTGTCAATGAAATATGTGATTTTCCACATTTTTGTTTTTTTCTCTCTAGAAGCCTTGAGACAAGCTTCACACCCCATACGTGATGATGATGTCCGCCTTGGTTTGGTTGCACACAATTCACGCACATCTTTTCCCTTTCTCGGTTGATGATAGCCCTCTCTAACACATGTTAGCATCACGTAGTTCTCGTTGGATGTTCTTTTCCGAATTCCAAAACCTTTTGCCTTCCCAAATGTTGTATACAAGTCTAATATATCCTTTTGTTCGGAAAATTTCATTCCAACCTCAATTATAACAGTAGTACTCTTTGTTGGTGATAATAGAATGGCATTAAACTTATTATCAAACAAGTCATTAGGTATATCATCTTCTATTTCATCATTTCTGGAATCTTTGATTTCACCATATTCCATTTCATTAGATAAGTCATTTGGAATGCAATCTTCACTGCAGTCAATATAACTTATTGGATCCTCATCCGCTGAAGTGGCTTGATTAGTGGTCATATCATCTACATTTTATATTTTTAATAACATAAGTAATATGGGAGAAACTAATATAACATGAATAAAAAAATCTAAAGTCAAGAGAGAATCAATGCACCAAATAGATAATGTAGCGAGTTCTTGCTTCCTATCGTATTTTCATTTTATAGATCAATCACCTTGTATTGATACAAAAATATAATAAGAGTCCAGAAGTCCATTAGCAACTACAAAAAGACAAAAAAAAAAAACACTACAAAATAATGGGTCTTAACAGAAGTATTATCATACTTTCTTTTCCATAGCTTGACATAATTATTTGTAGTCTTCAATTTTTTTTTACACAAATATATAAAAACCAAGCATTCAATCTCTATGCCTCAAGTTAGTAGATGTACTCATCATTTATACATTTGAATAAAAGCATGTGCAATGGGGTACAAAAAAATGATCACAATCATTGAATTCCACGATAACATAGCACCCTAACTTCAATGAGTATCCAAGTTTTATTCCTTCTAAATAGAGCTTAACCAAATAAGGTAAATCTGCAATAATCAGAACCACAAAAAATGATGCAAAATGGTAAGTAAAACATACCAGGTAGAGAAGCAAAAGCAGGCACAAACTAGAGGTTCTTTCCAAATGAATATAAGAAGTGGTTCATTTGAGACAACTAATAGAGAGAGAGAGAGAAAGGAAGAAAGAGTTCATAGCAGAGTGACTAACCAACCACACTGAAGCAGATGTTTGATCTCTTTGAACATCAAGATTGTGTCGAAAGGTGAAGGACGATAGTGATATATTTCAGGTTGTGTTCTATGAAAATTAAACAACAATTATATCTTAGAAGAAAAAAATGAACGAGAAACTTATGGTTATTGAAGTACAGACTCTAGTGTTTGATTAACTTGAAGTTGATAAAAGTAATTGAAATAAACAAGACTTCACCGTTTTAAGGTTTAATGGCATCCATTTTGTTAAGACACAAACGAAATAATTGGTCGACTATCAAATCATGTAAATGCTAGACTACTTGTTAGGAGTATTCCTATTAAATTTGAAACAGCTTCAACAATCGAAACTTAAAAAGAATAAACCCCAAAAAAAGAAAAAAAGTCAAAGGAGAAAAAAAATGGCGAATCACCCACGTTAACAGATGAAAACTCCAATCAAATTGCCTCACTCACAGGTCCTGTAATGGCGGCAACAAGGTCGACTCAATATATCATTCCACGCGCAGGTGGGAAACGCCGACAGCAAGGTCGGCCTTCGGCAGTAAAAGAGCACAAGGGCTAGCGCAACGATGGTGGGTCACAAACAGAGGGCTGAGACGGCGATGGCAGATGGTCGAGATGGAGTGACGTGGACGCAGACGACAATCTACTGGAGGCTTGAGCGGAGAGGGTAAGAGAGCGGGAAAGGAAAGTGTGGTAGACGTTAGACGTGAAATGGAAGCTATTTGTGGAATGGAGAAATTAAATCAGAACCGTCGACGAAACAATTAATCTAACGGTTATTAATTGTTTGTAAACATTTGTAAACTATTTACTTTGTCAATATATCTATTCCCATATAGATTTGTTAACTTGTTTCATCTTATTTGATATTCAATAATTAAAATAACATTACTGTATTGTTTAAAATTATTAAAATTTAAAACAAATAAATTATTATTTAGGTCGACTTATAGACCTGACATGTAAAAAAAAATTTATGATTTACTTTTTAAATAGATATTTTTTGATATTTAAATCTATTATATTTAATTATATGTAATAATTCAAATCTCACTTAATGTTCCCTGAGCCATAGGTTCCTATTATGGCAAGTGCACATTTTCTCCCTTACAGTTTCCATTTCCTTGATGGCTGCGCCGACTTCCATAGCCAAATTGTTATGTCATTGACCGCTGTCAATTCAATTTCAATGTTACTGAATTCACTTTTAAGATTTATGATGGCGGGCATAGCCACTTTGCTGCTGGTATATGATCAAGTCCAAGAATGACATGTAGAAAGCTGGTTCCATAAAATTCGTCTTGTGATTGATCTTTCCGAGCTTTACTTGCACACAGTAGCGGAAGGAAGGTTGGTCCATCATTTTTGAAATTCATTTGTAGGAATTTCTCATGATATATAAAATTTTATTAACTCTATAAAAATTAAATAAAACTTGTCCTTGAATTGGACGAGAAAGGGCTTGTTTGAAATCTGTTTCGAAAAATAATTTTAAGTTTAGAATAAAAAAATAAATTTATTTGATAAGACTTATTTTGTTAAAAAAAAATTAAAAAATTGTAACTGGTTTTTTTAAAATTAAATTTAGAAAACATATCTGAATTATTTTTATTTTGCATTTTAATTTTTAACTTTCAAAATAAAAAAATGTAGAAAATATCTATTTTATTAATTATTCTACTAAACAGTTTTGAAAAAAAAAAACCATTAACAGAATTGGGCATGTTTGATAACTGTTTTAGAAAAACAGTTTTTAAATTTTAAAAACAAAAGTATAAAAAAACTTGTTTGATAGTAAGGTGTTTTCTAAAACCTATTCTCAAAATAATATCTGTTTTTTAACTTTTAGAACTGATATTACAGGACATCTCATAGGTGTTTTTTGTTTTTGTTTTGAGTTTCTATTCTTAAAGAATGAAAAGACGGAAAACAAATTGTTCTCATTAATGGCACAATTGTAAATAATAATAAGTCAATCCTATGTATCAGGCTTCGACACTCATTCATCACAAGCAAATTTTTTTGTTTTATAATTTTTAAAACTCTTTTCAAAATTAATTTACCAAACAGAATTTTTTCTTTTCTAGCTTTGAAAATCAACTCTAAAAAACTATTTTATAAAATAATTTTCAAAACAAAAAAACCAAAACACTTCCAAACAGAAAATTCTTGTTCTGTGCTCTTGCTTGAACATTTGTTTATCCATGCATTTGGAATTTCTTGGAATTAAATAGAGAAATCAGGGGGCTGTTGGATCATGCTTTATTAGTTTATCTTGAAACCTACTCTTTAGCTTACAAGTAGACTTTACAATATGTACCTAGTCAATTCCAATTGGATCATATAATCTAGGGAAGGTAACATCTCTGACTCGCCTAACACTGCATTTCTCATGCTGATTTCCATCCGCATCACATATGACCTAGATTCTCATAGATTTTTCCAATAACTAATTTTTTTTTTATTAAATTACAAAAGATGTCACATTATACTAGAAAATTGGTCCCGGATATCAATGGGACAGTGACCAAAGTGTCACGTTTAGACAAAAAAATTATCAGATTGTCACACTAACAGTAAATTTTGCCAAAATGTCACGCGACATAATTCGCTACACAGTGTAGCGAATTATGCATGCAAGTAATTCGCTACATAGTGTAGCGAAATATGCCACGTCAGAATGCACAGAATCAAAAATGCCACATGTCAAATTTTGACGCTACACTGTGTAGCGAATTATGCCGCGTGACATTTTGGCAAAATTTACTGTTGGCGTGGCAATCTGGTAATTTTTTTGTCCAAGCGTGGCAAAATGGTCACTGTTTCGATATCAATTCATCATGTCATGTTGTGAGGAACAGTGATCAAAATGCCACTGTTCACCAAATTTTTTTCCTAAATGCCACGCGAACAGTGTTATTTCCCAATCTGCCATGGAGGCAAGTTCGCTACCCGGTGTAGCGAACTCAGTTTGCTGACGTGTCACGTTTCTAGTGGACACAAAGTTCGTTACACGGGATAGCGAACTTGGTTTTAACCAAGTTCGCTACCCAATGTAGCGAACTTCATACTTTTTTTTTAGCTTGGTACTTGTTATCCACTAGAAATGTGACACGTCAGCAAACTGAGTTCGCTACACCGGGTAGCGAACTTGCCCCCGTGGCAGATTGGAAAATAACATTGTTCGCGTGACATTTAGGTAAAAAACTTGGTGAAGAATGGCATTCTTGTCTGTGTTCCATGTTGTGACAAATATAATATGAGAAAAGTATATTATTTTAAAGAATGTAAAGTTGTATCATTTTAAGTGAGAGAAAGAAATAGATAAAGGAGGAGAGAGAGTGAACAAAAAAATATAAAAATATGGGTCTCACCCCGTTCTCGTTGTAAAAGTGAAAGAATATAAGTTGTGTCGTTTAAAAACAGAAACATTTTTCCCATATAATATTGGGTTATATACAAAGAAAAGGAATAAGTGAACGGATACTGAAAAATGAAGGATCTGTCCTTCACTTAAACCAAAGAAACTTTATCAGTTTGATTAATGATTGCACACCTGGACCAGAAACGCACAAAAGAACAAGAATTGAAGCGTACACTACCAAGTATACAGCACCCACAAAGAAGCATTTTTTAACTGTTTCAAGCAAAATGCCAGAAGTGATTTTTCTTAAGGATGACAAAACCTATAACTTTCTAGTTCCATCACCTGAACTGTTTCCAATATTGAACAAGTCAAAATCAGAAAATACGGAGGTTGCATCTTACACCAAAAAAAAAAAAGGAAAAAAAAAAATAAACAGCTTAATTATATGCAAAAGATAATCATCCCTTTGGATCACAAAGTGATTCAACCATTGGATGAATACGTTGATTCATCTTAAAACCACCCTCTTCATCATCGGTCTTGGAAACACACAGGTCAGAAATGATGAGGGAGAACCAAACAATGAGTGGGGTAAGAAAAAGAATGAGGCCAAAGGGCACCATCCAAAGTTGCCTATTTGTTGGATGATACTTGTGTAGCCACCATCCAAGCAAAGAGCCTCCTGCTATGCATATCAACAAAGACAAGACCAAAATCATCAAGTATGGCTTTGTTATCCTCTTGCTTTCTTTGTAGTCTTCATTTTTCACTCCTTCACTTGGTTCCATCTAATTGCACCCCCCCAAAAAAGAAGAGTTTTACCCTGAAATTGAAAATAAAACAAAAACTATATATTTCTCATTTGCTTATTAAAGGGTATCAATAGAGTCCCTTTATATTGAACATGAAAAATA